ACAGCACACACAGCACACACACAGCACACACAGCACACAATTCTGATGATGTGTTATTTATTATTAAGTTACACAACTTTTATATATTGTTTCCATCTATTTGTTATGATGAACTGGGTGTTTTTTGTAAACTTGACAAGCAATCTTATTATTTAGTGTTCACAAGAAGTGTCTGAACTGTTTGTTAATAATCTTCATAACTTCACAGAATATGTCACATTTGATATAGATCTCGAAAATACATTGTTTGTTATACATGATATTCAAATGCACAATGCAATAGCACAACCTTACTGTTCTTTAATTTTGTTTTTGGTATAGAAATGGGAGAGGATTGCACAATGCTATAAGACATTCCTTGATACACACTGAGATTTGAAAAGTAAGATCTGATGGTTTATGTTCATTGTAAGTATGACCACCACCACTGTTCCCTTTAATTTTTTTGAATCTTGAAAATACTGTGAAAATTTGCCCATTTCCCCCTTGAAATTTTTTTTCCGCATACAAAATGCATGGAAAGTTTCTCAAAAGACAAAATTTCACTGAGAAACTACAATTGAATCTGAGAAAATTGAGCGAAAATAAGGCTTAGATGGAACACTGACCACCACCAAATCAAATGTCCTGGCAAGTCTATGTATGTATAGCCAAATGAAAAGTTTTGGCAGTCTTGGTTTTAACCCATGTCAAAGTTCATCAGGAAAGAGATTATCTTGTGAGAATACTTGATGGATGATATCAGTTGGTTTAATAATACTCGTGCTACCAATGATGACCTACAAGAAATGAAAATTAGATTAAAAAACTGTGTCCAAAGTGAATTTCAAAAATGGTCAAAAAAATGATTGCACCTCATATTCAAAAACTTGTCAAGTACAGAAAATATTTTCATATATTTTGTAACATTTTCTAATATGAGAGAATGTAACATATCAGGGGACGTATTACAGGGAACCTCAAACACACCATAAACCTTGACAACATATTTTTGGCACACAGCTGTCTTACAGTGATTATAATCAAGTGATTGACAGCTTACCTGAATACTACTTCTATGTGCAGCCACTGCTTCTTTCACCATTCGTATTTCAGATGAAGTAACTCCACCAATCACGTACAGGATAAGCAGAGGGTGATTATTTGGACGAGGTTTATTCACATTCATGAATAAACTTTAAAAAAAAAAAAAAAAATAACTAAATTGCAGGCATTGAACATGGTTAATATTCTTACAAAATACACTTTAGATAACCAATTTATTCTATTGCTTTATTTATTTATTTGAAGGATTAACAGGTTCTGGATTAGGGTTCCAGGCATTTCATGGTAATCCGGTACTCACTGCAACAAGGCAGGCACTGAGAACAGCAACATTGCACAAGACAAACAGTTTTACATTTCCACCAACTGGACACTGTATTCATAACCGTGAATGCTGCATGCTAGAATTTGATAGCTTTCCCTTACAATAATATGACTCCACTAAAACAATAACTGTATTTACCCAAATCCACTTTTCAGTAAGTCTTTCAATCCACTGGATTTATACTCAATATCAATCAGATCTGGCTTATTGGGGTTGAATATTTCATCTACTATTTGTTTAAGCAATGGTCTATAGCTGGCTGCATGCTGGAAACTTCCTGATTCAAACACATGTCTACCAAGAAAAAACACAAAATACAAAAAATAAATTTATACAACATGAAAGTCTTGCAATAGCTAAAATCATCATGAGTTGATTCTCAAAGTCACAGAAACTATGCACAGTAAATTTGTCACTGCTAAACAGAATTTCAATACACCATGAATTTTGCTGAGATGTGATTTGCATGTGCTACTCTTGGTTACATGGCAACGATTGATTTACAAGATGGAAAAAGTCGATATTGCAAAATGGCGGCTCTCACTTCTAGCACATCTCAAGGGGTCATAAGATGGTTTTAATGGCGTCAACACAATCAGATGAAGAACAGACCAATGTAAGAGCATCACCAAAGGGGGGGGGGGGTTCATAGCTTAGAACCCTTTGCTGTTACAGTATTTGAACAAACTTTGATTTATGGCGTGATACAGTTTGCAATTTGTGATTTATTTTCACACATAGTCACTCGATTGTTGTCAGGAAAGCAAGCACTTGCAGCATAAATACAAAATTTGGCTGCCCCCAGGGTTTGACCGAACCCCACACAAAG